ATAAAATAATTCGAAGTGGTCTGTATTCTGTCGAAACTGCCAGACGCGGATCGCGATTTCGATCTTTTTGGATCTCATCAGCGCGTCGCAGGCAGCTCCGACAGAACACAGACCAACTTTTACCTGCTGTCTTAACAGTGCGTTTCAGAAAATACTACAAACGGCACAGTGAGCGCCATCTGTAGCATCCATCCTTAAAAGAATTATTAAATAAAAACGTAAGTCTCAGATTAAATGAACAAAACCAAGACTAAGACTAGGTGTATTTGAGCAAGGCCCGAGTCGAGAATAAGAAAGACCAAGACCAAGACCAATATCAAGGCTTGGACAGTCTTCTTGGTCTTAATCTTGCTTAGCTCATAACTATACAAAGCCATGGTAAAGCCCACATTATGCAATTGTAATCAGAAATCGTTATTTGTATCATTCTCTGTACTGACTTCCAAGAAGTTGATTTTTCAACTTTTAGAGTAAAAAGTCAACCAACCAAATCAAGCATCATTAGTTTATCTAGTTGTTGCCTCTATTGATGAAAAACATCTAGCAGAATTTTACACTTGACTCGCTTTTTTATGTTTTGTAAGTGTTAAAGTTAGTTGTCTCATTTCGTAATGAGCCAATTGCTTTAAACTTCACTTCACGACATGATAATAATCGATCGGTTCGAAGAAGTTATGTAGTTCCGTAGAGCCAAGAAGATGCCGTAAAGTTGGCGTCCGTCCAGTTGTGAATTAACAAAGTTTTATTTCTATCGAAGCCTTTTCATGTCCGCGTGTTACTTTAACTTTTTCATATAACCACTTATAAGATTTCCTTCTTTAGAACTACCAAAACTTCCTTAAATGCTTCGTGTCTACTCTACAACAAATTGTTTATTACTAAATAACGTTTACGGAAATGTTAATATAGAAAACCATTTTAAAAAGATATAAACCAAATTTTAAATTTTAAGTTGTCAGAAAATACTTGCTGTTTTAAATGAGCCAAGGTATCATTAGCATTATGATTTGTATCACCGTTTGTGAGTAGTAGGTAAATCAGAAAAAACCAAACATTTGTAAAGAAAAGCATCCGTAAAAGAAAAAATAAAATTATATGCCTAATATATTTATTTTGATGTGAATAAACTGCCAGAGCAAAATAATTTCAAACAGTTTAAATTACTCCCTAAGGCTTATTTTTGGCTGAACTTTCGCGTTTACTTACTTTATAATTTTACTGGTAGTTTAGACAAAAGACATCCTGACGTCTTCAAAATGCCAAAGAAATGAAACTGACCATAAGAAGAAATGAGTATTTCGAAAAAAGTTGTAATTAACATCCCTGGTCTAATCTAGGTTCAAAATTTTATAAAATTTTTCTTAGCATCATATTCAATACCAAAAAGTTATTTTTTAAGCATTAATTTAAGTATATAAACAAAATAACGACTCTAACTGTAATTATTCATTAGTAAATCGCTTTTTGAGTAAAATCCACATTTTTACTAGAATTTAGTTAAAATATCTATATCGTTCGCTCAATAACTTCGAGATTCATTTATGACGAAAACCGTTTCGATAGAGTGTAAAGCAACGCGATTAGGGGTTGAAATTTCAAAGGCCGCCATTTGAGCATTCATATTAAGTACCTATGTGACAATTAAATTTATTTTATTCAGAAGCTTCCATTAATTAGACTAACGACGTACAACTATCAAACTCTGGTAACAAAACCTAAACGAGCCCATATCTCAGCAATATTAGACGCAATTCATCGACATTATTCAATCATCGAATATTTATCTTTTACGTGGTTATTTGTCGCTCGACAACCCAAATACTATTTTCAATACGAGAAGATCAGTTCTCGCTTTCTTACATAAAATCATATCTATACAAAAATTTTTAATGACTGATTTTCAGATAAAGGGACGTATGTCGGCGGTCCATGCGACCGCAACTGCAGCTCTCGCCTTAGTCACGTCTACTGCGACCCCATTACCAACCTGTGCCGATGTAAGAAAGGATACCCTGTACAACTTAATCCAACTACGGGATGTGGAAAACGTGAGTAATATTATTCAAAGTGTCATCACCATCATAAGGCCGTCAGTCCTAACACTGTTAGATACGATAACACCTGGTTAGATACGAACTTCCACTCTTTCCTATCCTGAGCTAATCTTCGCAATTCCCTAAAACTAGAACGTCCCAAATCCTTAACTATTTACGAACAGTAATCAAATCTAGGTCTACCTCTACTCCTCTTAGATCCTGTTTTCTGCATCAAATGTCTCTGACTAGCCCTTCATGTCCTACCAACCTATCTCGCCTATCCCTTATTGACTTCCATAGAGGCATCTGGTTCCTATTCTTTTTAATACCTCCTTTTTTATATTATAAGTAATTATTTTATATGCGCTTTTAATCTAATAAAATAACCAAAAGGGTTTCAGGAAGTTAGAGATATGCCCTTTCCCTTTATTAGGATGCGCCGTAGCATAATTCCAAATTCAATCATATTTCTCCACCGATCATCGAGCGAGAACTAGACAAAAGTGTACAGTACCATTTGCAAAATAGTTTAAACTGCCTCGTTAAAATTTAAGAATATGCTTTATTTAAAAGCATATTTAGCCAAAAATAATAGCAAGTGAATTAACTTAACATTCTACACACCTATAAAACTTTTGCTTTGTTTTCTATTGTTAATTTATATACATTTTTGTTTTAA